ACATGGATCCAGCAGGACCTTTTAAAAACCGAATCTTTAGGAAAGGCCAAGCACTTACTTGATTATTGCACATGACTTCACGCGGTATTCACACCTATACATCGCTACAAGCCAAGTCACAGAGCCTCTGAACGCTTGAAAGATCACATTGTGCTTATCGAACACGTGAAACAAATCCCTGATAGACACATTCGAAGATGACGATGCCGGAGAATTTCTCTCAGAAGAATTCACTGCCTTCCTCAAAGAAAAAGGGATCCAGCATCAGACTACACGCCCCTTATACTCCTCAGCATAGCGGAGTAGCTGAGCAAAGAAACAGATCCATTGAAAACGCGATCAGGTCAATGATCATATCCTCTGGACTACCAAAACGATTCTGGGGAAAAGCAACTGCAACTGCCGTATACTTGCTGAATAGGTCGCCACATTCGGCTATAAACAACCTAACACCATACGAGAAAAGGTCTGGAAAGAAACCATGGGTTTCACATCTCAAGACCTTTGGCTGCAAAGCAAATGCAGTCATACCCTCAACACTACTGGGAAAATTGGATTCAAGAACATCCAATTGTGTTATGCTAGGTTACAAACAAGGATCCAAGGCTTATCGACTATACGATCTGGATTCAAAGAAAACTATATTAACAAGGGATGCAAAGTTCAATGAGGACAACTTCCCATTCAAACATCAAAAGACGAGTCAACGCTCGCACAAAACTGGAAACTTGAACATAATTCAACTAGAATTTCAAGGACACAAGAATTACCAGTCAAAAAGGCAACACCAGCCAAGGAGGTTATAACAGTCACCGAAACCCAGCAAGAGGAAAATCTGGACATTTCGAGTCAAGCTCCAACTATTATCGCTACCAGCGAATACAATGATGGAACATATCCTACTGTTCACCAATTCAGGCCTAACCCTGATAACTCAACCCAAACGAGTCAAATTATCAGATCTGGTGGGGTTACTACTAAAAACCCATTTGCATCTTCCAGTCCATCAGGATTCAATCCATCAAGACTGCCAAACCCACTTAGATCATACAAGGGGTATACTTATGAAGAAATTACCAATGAAGAACCAGAATCACATTCTTTTCCACCAACTGGACTCATAACCTGTCATAATTTTTGGAGCTTCGTGATTTGTATAGTAAATGTAATAAGTAGAATATAGTCTGTAACTGTTGATAGTTATCAGAAAACCCAAATCAGAGTACAGAACAAAAGAAACTGTGATCCGAAATACATGGCCTATTTGACAGATAAGCTGGCTTGTTTGTAGCGCAAACATAATGCATATCGTATACAATAAGTCAACCAACGCAAAAGGACGGATCACCTTGACAAACCATCCATCATAAAAACTTGTTCTCATCAATCGACAAAAGATCACCCTCGTAACCAAACTCCCACAAATGGAATACCAAGAACATCAAAACATTTTGAACAGACCACATTTGAATAGAACCAACAAATCTCTCTCCCAGAACGGCCATGTAAAAACAAGCCAAAACAACAAATAGAAGCATCTGCAGCAGAGTTTAAAGAAACCAGAATAGCACACCATTCCACATCACATCCTGTCAAGTCGTTCCAAATCAAAACCACTGTTATACATCTTGCAACGCCAGTCAGCAAGATTCCAGTACAATAGTCAGGAAGACAGATTCAAGCCAGATCAGTCATAACCAATGGACAGATTATCCAATTGAGCACAAACAAGAAACCCAAGTACTTTGCGCTGTCTCAATGAAAAGGCTGAATGATGAGCTCTTCATATCGCACTTTACAAAAGACGGGATATAGTTATCAGTAAACCCAGAAAGACTGAAAGGGAAATTTGATCAACTTTAGATGTATCCAGAATGTTTCTAAAGGTAGAAATGTAAACACCAATCAACGCTCCACCAGCCATAGTCAGGATAATCTATAGCAAAACCCCTGTCAAGCACAGACAACCGTTTCATAGCAGTGTATTTTGGTTCATCTGAAACTGGTAGATTTTGTAGAACAACTTTTTCCACAGTATTGGTCGACATTTTGTATTTTAGCAAGAAATTGAAAACCGGTTTTCAACGGGTTTCAACGGTTTTTATCCTTTTCAACCTTTTCATAAAAAATGCCATCTGTGTTATTCCTCTGTACTCACAACTCGGCAAGAAGTCAAATCGCAGAAGCTATTCTACGACACTTGGATACTACAGGAAAGTTTGAAGCTTATAGTGCAGGATCAGAAGAAACCTTTGTTAGACCGCTTGCCATTAAAGTGATGCAAGAATGGAATGTTGATATGTCCTCTCACACTTCAAAAACCTTGGAGCAGTTTCTTGATCGCAAGATTGATTTTGTTGTTACTGTCTGTGATTCTGCAAATGATACTTGTCCAATCTTTCCTCGCGCCATCAAGAAATTACACTGGAGCTTCCCTGACCCATCTAAAGCTGTTGGGACAGAGGATGAACAATTACAAGCTTACAGGACTGTTCGTAATGGATTGGCTGAAAGAATTACTACAGAGCTTCTA